AGTCGCGGCCAGGGCTTCGGTGCCTTTCCTCCTACCTCGGACGAGTGACTTTCAGGCGGGTCAGGGTTTTTGGGTTCGGTACCCGAAACCCTAATATAGGGGCATTAGTAATGACCTATCCCATACAATTTCGGGTGTTCCTTGTTATAATTTCCGCATGATTATAAAGGTCTCCACCGTCCACGGTTGTTGTTTGGAGCTTTGTTGCGTTCTGCCCTCGACTTCGAGTTAGGGCGTTGTGTAGGGGTTTTAAAGGAGTCCTTTTAAGGGCTTTTATGGGTTTCTAGGTATGTTGATTTTGGGTCTATCGATGTTGACTTTGAGGTGTAGAGTCCAAGTGTCTAAGTCGTTGAGCAGTGCCAGGGTTGTTGGGTTTATTCTTGGGTTCTGCGGCGCTGACGGCTTGTGGAATTGGGGCTTCGGGGCTTCAAGTCTCAGGCTTGTTTGATGGTGTAGGACTTATGTAAGTTCTTTCAGACAGTTGGGGCTTGTAGCGGGTCGAACCTAGGACCTAGGGCTAGTGGGTGTGTGCTGTTTAGGGTTTTCCAGATTCAGTGCGCTGATTTCCAGGGCTGTGTTTGCCATGGGCAATCACCCCAAAGCGGCTGCGGCTTACATGACCAGTCTTTGCCGGGTTATAGGCACTTTATCCCAGTGCTTCGCAGCTTGCTGCCCATGTTGTTGTAAACCTGGGGCGATGAGACATGCCCACGAAAGCACATGGAGTGAGAGGGGCTGGCAAGGGAGCCACTGCGGATTGTAGCTTAATTGCCATATGACGCCTTCAGCGACAGGGGACCTTGAAATAGGTCCGAGGTCATTGTGATTGGCAGGGTCGGAATTCATGATAAAGACCCTTCAACAATGTTTACGTCAAATACGACATCTTACAGCCACAGAGCGGTTGAAACAGTGGTTTCGCATGTCTCGAACACTATAGGGTTTAGGGTTTATGGTGGCTACTATTTCCAGCATTCCGATGTACTCAAGTGCTCCTGCTGCGAGGTTGCTTAGATCCTCGAAGCCTTTACCATGTACTTACGGGCTTCCGCTATTAACTATGATGTACATGTACGAAGCAAAGGCCCGAAGACGGCTCTCGCGAAATTCAAGTCGGGCTTGTTCAAAGCCTGAGCTTACCTTTGGTTAGTAGGGAATGGAAGAATGGTAGTAATAGTAGTTATAATTGTACCCCATTCCTCCATTCCCGACTAACCACAGGTAAGTGAGGCTAGCTTCCGAGCTCGCCATCATCGAACCTCTGGCGAAGTTGGGCTTACGTTAAGGCCCCCTGATTCCGCCGAGCATGTAAGGTGTTTCTGCATAAGGTGTCCCTAGGTGTTGCTGGAGATTGACTTCTGCCTTGACCTCGAGGGTTGAGGGAGGTGAATACAGCAGCTATAGAGTCGGATCAGCAGATGAGTTAGCTCCTCTATTACGTAGCACCTAAATAAGTACAGGGTGCAGTAGCTTCCCAATCCATAGTCTAATCATCAAGACCTGGGCTACACCGACGGGCCCAAGCCGCGAACTTCAAGGCCTGGAAATTTCACAAAGATTTGGGGCCGCATACAGACCCTGAGCCCTAAACGAAAGTGGGCAGGGTCCTGTCCAAATGGCCGCTGTGGCGCCGGATCGCCGTGGTCTCGTCGCAACACGCCGACTTCAAGCAGGTCGAAGGGCATGGAGCGTAGGCTTTAGGGTAGTTCAGGGTTCATGGCTTGGGGTATCCGGTTTAGGTCTTCGGCTTTTAGCATGCTTGAGGTGTAGCATGCAGTAGCCCAAATCATGTGTGGCGTGTGCGCCTTAGAGTTGAGAAGGCACCGATAGAAGTCCAAAGGGCTCAGCGAAATTCCGAGTCTCTCTGAATCGACTTGGAGGAATGGGGACCCAGTAAGCAGGCGTGAGAATATACATGCTGTAGGGACCTTAATAATTTGGATAGGGTTTTGGGCGTCCCTTTATATAATTGTAGAAGAATATACCCGCAACTCCCTATTCTAGCCATTAAGGCCCTACATTAATTAGCTTCACAACCGGGGTAGCTTCAAGGTACGGTACATCTCCCGCATAGGCACACCATCACTGCAGGAAGCCCTTAACCCCTGATGAAGTTTTGCCATAGCACGGCCCCGATTGCAAGATATCAAAGGCCTCGAATGGAAGCGCAAAGCCTGCAATTACTACGACTCCCCAATCTAAACCCTAATAGACCCTAATCAGGGGAGCTGCTGCTATCCTCGCGCTCACTCGTGGCAGTCGTCCTTTGGCATCATCTGGGCAGTGTGAGTGAGCATCGGGCCGAGGATGTCATAAAGTTTTTAGGGTTCATGAGGGCGTAAGGTTTAAACCCTAATCCAGGGTTTGGGGTGCAGGGTTTTAGGTTCTAAATGCAAGCCTTGCAGGGTTTCAGGATGTTTGAGGTCCAAGGCTTTTCGTCGAAGACGACCGTGAGTTCTGGGTGCTCGGTTTACGGTTTCATGAGATCAACCACGAAGGGCAAAGCTTGAAATTATTGCATGAGTTTTTTGGGAGATGGACGTCTTGATAGGAAGGCAGAACAGGTTGCAGTATGCTCAAGATGCCGAACTCGGCTCCCAATCTACTGAACTTGGCAAGGTTCTTGGGTTTTGAAGGCTTGCGAGTTTGGAGAGCCTAGGATTTGGCCAAGAGCACCAAGGCCCCCAAATCCTAATCCTGAAACCCCAAGCCCTGCACTCTGAGCGAAAGGGCAAGCTGAAGCTGGGTCACGGCTGTCGGAACCCCGTGGACGTCTACAAGCTCCGCGGCTCAACGCTTTGTTTTCGGGTCTGGTGTTTGGGGCCCTCAACCCCAAAGCCTAAACGCGGCACATCCGTAAACCTCAAAGTTTTAGCAAGGTGTTCTCCAAACAGTGCGAACATGAGGGGGGCCTTGTGTTCAGCGTAAAGTGAGTTAACTGCTGTCCCACAAAGAATTTCGGGTGTTTTTCTGAATCTCGCAAGCTACGGGGGCTAAGCATCGTGCTACCGAAACGCGCCAGTGCCTTGGGGAAAGCACTTTCGCGCCGCTCCTCGAGCTGCCAGTACTTGGCGATTCTGCCGTGTCTTGAAGCCTCCTGCCAGTCGTTGCGCGTGGTTCTCGATACGCCGGCTATTGGGCCCTAAACCCTAAACTACCCTGTTGGGACTCCCTGGTCTCTGGGTGGTTTCCTGGTGGTCTGTCTCTTGATGGTCTCTTGGTCCTGGTCGTTGCTGGTGGTGGTCTTTTGGTGCTCGTTTGGTGGTCTCCTGGTGTTCTGGTATCTTGTAAGGAGGTGTTTTCAAACACTGTCATTCAACGAGCCTTGTGAACCGGCTGAGCAAGCCTTGCAACAGTTAACTTTTGGAATGTGGTTTGCCGAAGGTGTGGTAAGTAGGTGCAGGTGTCTGGAAAACTTCAACGCTCCAATCTGCCAAAGAGGAAATGCTTCTTCATGCTTTACAACATTCAATGCTTTGTTACAGTTCATACTCCAAGGTGTCATTGAAAATGTTGCTCTTCTTGTTTGATATGTGGAGTCCATTGGGGTTTATTGTCGAGTTTAGGATGTAGCTTTCGAGACATCAGGAGATCAGCATGGTACCAAGGGTGTATAGGAGGCCCGGGCGAACCCTGTGCATCACGAACCACAACTCGTAATAGTCTAGCCCGGTTATAGTTCCCATACACATTGTACTGAACATGTCCCAGAGTCCATCGTATAAGCCCGTTGCAGAAAATTCCTGAGTCGAACTATTAGGAGCATGTTCTGGGATCTTGAGTGGCAGGAGTTTTTGCCAAGCTAGCGTTGAAGCATGGAAGGACCAGCACTACTCTTCCTTAGGCTCTTTATGGTAGTCGTAGGCGAATGTACTCTCAGAACCCTTTTCGAGATTGTTGGGGCGGCTCTACTTCCCTCAGACCAAGTCACACCTCTTGGTTCTGAACTTACGATTTGCGCTGTATCATTTTTGAACGGGGTTCTAGGGTTTGGGGCCAGCTGGAGGTTTTGTGGATTATAGCAGCGTTCGTTTCGGTGAGGCAGCGGAACAGCAGAATGTAAAGCGATACAGGAACCCTATACCCTAAACCCTAAGCCCTACATTCCTAAACCCCGCTTCATGTATGCATACCTTCGGAATTCGTTTTCGAAACTTTGGCCATTGCAAGGAAAGCAGCGCAGACTTCAAAGCATGTGTCCTGGTCGCTCTTTCGGTTTAAGGTTTTAGAATTTTGGGCTTAGGGTTTAAGGTTTACGGTATCTTCAACCCAAAAACCTTAAATCGCACACCCAAAACACTAATTATGTAAACCAGCGTTTGCGGTCTTAGCTTCTCACTCTGTACTGGAGCCTGGTGCTGTGGCCAAGTGTTGTTCAGTTCGGGATTTAGCTTCGCTAGTCGTTTAGAAGGGAGCTACAGCTACACCTGCAGGATTCAAGCTAGCTTGCGGGGTTGGCCAGGTCTTTGGCCAATTGAGCGAATGTCGACTCCGAAATCTTAAGCCTTGTACAACACAGTAATCCGCTGTAAACACCTCCTTTGAACAAAACCAGGTATGAAACTATCCTTATACCAGACCCATAAGGCCCTCATTGCAACAAAGCCCCATATCCAAACCTGATGTTCTATTCCTTAGGGCTCCTAATTACTTTATCTGCTGCAGCCCATTCCCAACAAAAACCTTACATTCTGATTTTTGTCAAGGCGAAGCTGTTACACCCTATACACCCCTTATAGAGGCCTTTGCACAACCTTTCGCAAGCCCCGCATATGATACGCTAAGACTCTTCAGAAGCCTTGCAAAAGCCTTGCAAACGGAACTTCTACCATGATGGCCATTATGGAACGCTTTAGCGGATCCCTGCGGGCCACGCAGTTATCACTCGACGCCGTCGTTCTGCATTCGATCCTGCTTGCCTGACGCGCTTGTGGCGCGGCCGGCAGTCAACAATTATACTTTTCTATGCCCGACAATTTTATGTGTCGCCCAGCACTGACATGTGCCTTGAAGAGGAAAGCAAGCCAAACGCACGATTGTCCAACAAGGGGAAGGCACGGAACAAGGTGACCTGCTTTCTGTCTTCCACGACGCAGCACGAGGTGACGGCGAAGCCGGCTTTGCATTGGGGGAGGACGTCTGCATCGTCGCAGCCGGAGCACATCCGACTGCTATACGATGCCCGCAAAGGAAGCTAATCCTGTCCCTATAAGGCGCATATTAAAAGCATAGAGCGGAACCACTACGGTACCGACCCTACACCCCGAAGCACTATTTCTAATTGTTAAGACCTGAATCGTAGAATGCAGAACTCTTAGAAAATCGTCAAAGGAACCCTTACATATAGAAACCCCATTCTAATTAATAGGCCGCCATATTACACTCTGTAACCCATTATAAAACCCGTTACGGGAACCCTCACAGGAACTTTGCTCTCATAACTAGCATCGAAACTACAAGCAATAGTATCTCCTGTCAGCGGTATCTGTATACATAAATATATATATTTATATATATATATATATATATATATATATATATTATATACATATACACATATGTATAGGTATAGCCTAGCACCAAGGTTAATGCTGCGCATAATGTACCCAAAACCCTATCCTGAGTAGTAAGGCATCAGGGCAGAGGAGTATTACGAGCCCGGAAACTATTCCCCCCTCCCCCCACCCCCCCACCTCTCGTAGAAGGTGGCCCGGCTCCTTGGGAAGATCCTCTCTGACGGATCCCCGCGACCTGCATCGGCTCTGTGTCTGGGACGGCTTAGAGTTCAGGGTTTCAGGTGTAATGCTTACAGTTAGGAGGCCTTCGGCTTAAGGTTTTGGGTCAAGACGCTTTAGGTTGTAGGGTTAGGGGTTACGAGGATTTAAGGTTTTATAAGGTTTAAGGTAAGGGCTTTAGTGTTACGAGGGTTCAGAATTTAGGGCTCAGGGTACGAAGGTTTAGGATTTACGGCATAGGGTTGAAATGGTCAAACACGGGCGTCCGAATCATTGAATAGAGTTGTTGGGTATAGTATACGAGATGTCTGTAAGGACTATACAGAGGATTAGTACCAAATTGTTCAAACGCCGGATGAAGCTACTGTTAATGGGTTCCGATAAGCCTGAGCTTTGAACCCTGAATCCTTCAACCCGTATGGTAACTGTAACCCTTCTGGTATCCCTTGTCGCACCCCTGCACCTTAAACCCAAAGGGTCCTAATTTCCTATGTGGTAGAATATAGGGTTTTTACATGTGAGGAATTACTATTATGCTTTGGGGAAGTATCCCCCCATAACAGTACCTAGGAGAGTTACCTAGGAGCTTGTTTGGCGAATCCTTGGCCTCAGGAGTAAGCTTCTCTGGCACTCCGCGGAAGCTACGGCCTCTGATCTCCCGGAGGCCTGGCTTAGGGCTTACATGGACCCTGCAAAGCCCACCTTTTGAAAGACTTATATACTGAAATGTCTTGGAGCTCTTTTATATGGGTCAAGGTTCGGGGTTGAGGGTCCGGGATGCCTAGGAATCGGATTCAGGGTTTAGGGCTTAGGGTTTCTCGTGGTCTAAACTGGGTCTGATAGATGTGTTGCCACTCACAGCTAGGGGATCAGTGTCGAACTAGCGTGGGGAACCAAAGTACCTCAATAAGTGCCGAATGTTGCAAGGCTTGGGGGACGGTGGAGGGTCTACCTGTAGCCTGGGAGTCAAGTTTGCAGTAGCCAAGTACCCACTGCTCAGCGGTCATGCGGGGGGCTTATCTAGGATCCTTCCTGGGATCTTTGCAGCTGCACCCTGTTAGGGATCCGCGAGCGGTGGGTCTCTGAGCCTGGACATGGAGAGCCACCCACGCCTTTTTTTCAAGCACAAAGTTTCGAGATTGAGAGATGGCTCCCAGACCCAAACGCCCTAATCCCCAAAGCGCTGGGCCCCAAAACCCTCGCTGTAAACACCGAAAAGGCCCAAACCTCCGGGACTGGCTTTGGGCTCTAGTTACAGTTACTCTAGTTGCACACACAGACACACACAGACGAAGATGTCCTTGTACAGTCCAAGGGCACTGCATGCAGGCGAAGCAGATATTGCCAGAACTCAAGAAGTTTCTCTATGGCAGCTCTTGATGATGGGGTTCCGGGAGTCAGACGGCAGCAATCGGTTGGAAGCCTGAACGATTTCTCGAATTAGTTGCCCACCAGCCGGAAACATGAACCCTGGGTTCAGTTATATCACCTACCATAGGTCCTTACTTTGTTAACTCAGATTATGTACTCCTTAAGAAGAACCCCAGAACCTTGAAGCATTGACCTGCTCGGCTTGGGCAGGGATTCTCTGCCGAAACCCGGCAATTCGAGCCTTCCGCATGCAAAGAAACCCTAAACTCTAAACCGAAAGCCTCCTCCTGGTCGTGCGACCTCTCGAGACTGCTGGCCTCGTAGAAGAGGAGCTTAAAAAAGGAAAACAAACGCAAGCCTCCGCCACAGGATCGTGTCATACAGGGCGTGATTGCCACTAACGCCTTCAAAGACCTGGGAAGCAGCTTCCGGGACGGCAGATGGCAGAAGCTAGCAGTGGTTCCAAAAAGGTGTCGGAATAATTAAAAACGTTCCGTGAAAGTCCCTCTATATATATATATATATATATATATATATATATATATATATATAGCTTGTCTACATTGTACCCCAGTTTGAAAAGCACCAGCCTCTTCAACTTCTCAAGGCCTTGCTTTCGGGTTTTGAGTACCCCTTGCACCGCCACATTCATGCTGAGGCATCTTTCCTGCTGTGCCTGGGGCCGAGTATGTTCCCATTCAGTGATTTCCAGCCGTCTTTTGATTGGCATGCAGCCCTGTTGTCAGGCTTGGTGCACAGCGTCCTACTTTTTGATTGAAGATGCTAGGAGCTGCCAGTAACCCTGCACCACAGAAGAAGTGACCCTAAACCGAACACCAATTCACGCGCAAAACCTATATGGACCTATATCCCCAAAAGCCAACCAAAGCGCTGAAATACCGTAAAGGGTTTCGGGTTTATGTTACAGCCACCACGTGCCGAACAAAATCCCAAAGCCCTTACCTCAACGAACAGGCCTCCTTTCGGTGTGGCCCAGGTCCATGGCAAACCACAGCTGCCTCCCTAATGCCTTGGTGCTGAAATGTGGAGAGGCTGCCTTCTAGTCGTTGAGGGTTTGGGATTTGGGGTTTGCACCCGGACAGTGGAATTAGTAATTAGTATGTAAGCAGCTTGTCTGGCCGTCATGTGTCAGCGCCATCGCTACCCACTCGCTGACTAAAAATGCGCATAGCCGGATTTAGACGCCAATCTTACAATTCACGGTGCTTCAAACCCGAAACCCCGAGGCATAGGGCTTCAGGTTTAGGCTTTCTGGTTTACCTTAGCCCCCCCCCCAAAGTACTCCCCGCTATAGCCTGTAACCGGGCACTTGGGGAGTATAAGCAACGCGCACTTAGAGGATCATGGGACTTAGTAAGTAAGGTTATAAGTACGTTAATTGGGGTTATAAGTATAGTTACCCTAATAATTATAACCCTAGTTACTAAGTCCCATGATCCTTTGAGCAAAGCTTCCCCTGACGAGGCGCTGCTCCTCCGGGCCCGACGTGGGATCTCCCAGGGCGTCCAGGCTTCAAACTACGCGAATGCACAGGTTCCTCTTGCATAGCGATTCTATACGGGGTTTAGGGCCTTATATGTAGGAACCTGATCAAGATACCGTGGGCCTTTATCTGGGTTCCTTATATGAATCCCACTATTTTGGGGGTTATAGGCCCAGGGTGAGGGTTTCTTATAATCAGGTTCCTATGTTAGACCTCTGGAGGGTGTCTTTGACCATTCTCAAGGGGAAAAGGAGGGACCCTTAATGGGGACCCCTGCCCTATAATGGGCTATACAATGGGTATATAATAGCTATGTTAAGTGTATATACCTAGGGGTCCTTATTAAGGGTCCCTCCTTCTACCCCTGGACATTCATCCTGCAGTCTACAAGGTGCAGCAGCGTTCACTCTATTCGGAGGTTCAGGCTCCAGGTTGTTATGGTTCGAGCTTTCTTGGGATGGCTTAAGCTATTCGGAAATGAGCCTCCCTCAGGAGCCCGAAAAGCGTTCGCCCAGGTTCGATATGTCCGGGTTTGAAACCCCAAACCCTGAACCTTTAAACCCTGAACCCTGTACCCACCATACCGAGATTGTTCGAAAAAGCCGAGTCCGAACGGCAATCGTCTTGCAGTCTGAAACCTTTTTTCAGCCCGCCCCCAAGAGCCAGAAATCTTCAAAGTTTGTTCAACAGAGCTCCAGCTTATTCAAGAAACCCCATGAACATGCCCGCGCGCAATGCTTTTTACGAGCCCGAACGCCGCTGTGCCTTCCGAAGATCTCGCAGCAGCCCCAAGGCGAGGAAGTTTGCATCAACTACTTCGATGCCGGAAGCTCTGCTCCGTCGAATTTCGGGCTGGGGCTTACAGCTGAACTACGAGAGGGGTCGGAAGAATTACTCATACTATCCCCGCATAGCCCACTACAGAGTTGCAGTAGAACATATTTCATATAGATATATATATATATATATATATATATAGGTAGATAGATAGGTGGGGGCAGCACCCAAGGTTTAAGGTTTAGGCTCAGTCCGGCTCCAAGCTCAGGAGGCTGAGTTCCTGGGTTTAGAGTTAGGGTTGTTGTTGTTACGTGTCTTTCACTATCGGACTTCGCACCGGAAAAGGTTTCGAAGATGTTGGCCAGAGTTCAGGGGTAAGGGTCTAGAATTTGCGGTTTAAGGGTTAGGGATCAAGATAGACAAGGCTTTCCCTCACGCTCCGCTCCGCACTAGCATCCAGAATATGTCGGACGATTCTAGCAAGCATCGGTGCAGGGCTTTCGGCCATTCGGGAGATCCGCGATTTCTGTGTTCTTCGTGGCTTACGGTTTCAGGGCCTTCTGGATTCCTGGATTGGGATTTGCGGTTTAGTGTATAATGTATTCCTTGACCCCACGTAACCTACCTTTTTACGGACTTATATAAAGAAATCATATTAGGGAACCCTAAAAAGGTAGGTTCCTTAGGGTCCAGGTAATCCAAAACCCGGAGCCCTCTGCCTAGGTTTTGAAGCCTTTGGCTGAGAGGCAGAAGCTTTGCCAGAGTTGGCGCCTGTTCCCGCAATTTGACTTGGGGGCAGGTTTGCCCAACAAACTTTCGGATCTGGGGGACCTATTCAGTTCGACCTGGCGTAGATACGGTACCAGGGTTCATACAGACCTGATTGATAAGGTTCGCTTTTCTGAGTAGGCTTTGAGCTCGGAGAAGGTCCACTGCGCATGGTTTTCGCGGCTACAGGGCTTTTAAGGTTTGAGCCTTCACTTGCAATGCAACCTTAGGGCAATGGGGACTTTCACGCAGCTTGCATCGGGGAAGGCCGCGCAAAGTAGCAGCTTCTTCTTTCTGCCACTCCCGACCCGGGGGGTCTCAATCCTAAACCCCTAAACCCCGCACCAACTAAACCTTAAACCGTTTTTAGGCCTTGGGAGTCCTTAAGCCAAAAATTGACCCTAAACCCTAAACCCCTAAACCCCAAAACAAACTTAGACGTCGGCCTTCGCTTGGTATCTCAGGGGATTCGTCTGCGAGTGCCCGAGATGCGAGGACGAGAGAAGCATTGATGAAAGCGCCCCGGCCCAACTCAACAGTGCTTGTCTCAAGGCTTCAATTGCGGGCGTAGGTGGGGTAGGGCTTGGGGATGCTTGGGGGGGAGTTCCGATACGTCACTACCAGATTCTTCCCGGCCTTTCCAGGCCCTTCCTTGTCTGCTTGGTTTTTGGGTGTTGTGGTCGTCCCTTTAAGAACACACGAGCGTTGGAGATCTGCAGGAGTTACTAACCAGTGATATTGGAGGAGCTAAGGAGCCAGGGATGATGATAATCCCTATTAAAATAAGGAGCTCAGGAGCCAAGAAAAAACCCAAAACCACTGGTTAGGTTACTTCATGGGTTTTGTGTGTGTGTGTGATCCATGCTCTCCGCTGGAGCTGCGTGAAATAGGATACGTCCTTCGATCTTACTCATGGGTTACTCGGATCCCTGAATCTTCAACATGATTACACAGGACGGTGCTTAAACCGTGAACTTACTTGATGACTTCCCTCGACGATTCCAGTGTGCCATAGGAGCAGATCCTCTTTTAAAAGGCTGCATACTAATTCAAGGAAAGTCATTGAAGGAGGTTCCTTCGACATAAAGCTATCCAAGACGCTTGATTGATTTCTGTGCTTTCTGTCCCTGCACCGGATGGCCCTAATGCTCGAGCAGCCGGAATATGAAAGAACATTTTTCGGAGACGCACTGGAATGCAGAACACATGAGTTGAGTTGAGAAAGACATCCAACAACTCTTGCAGTGAAGCCCAAAACGCCAAATCTCTAGGCGATCTCAAAACGCCCGCTTGCAGCAAGCTTGGAACAAGATCCCTGACAAAGGCAAATTGCGAGCGATCTCGATTTTGATGAACCAACTCAGGTACCTTGGCTTGTATTGCCTGCGGAATGTAATGTTGCCTGTTAGTGCATTTCTTCGTTTGCTTCTGGCATACTGGCATACCAGTCATTGCTGCTGCTTTCGCTGCTGCTTCTGCCAATAATTCAATGTGTCGAGGATTAGAACGACGAGGACGAGCCTGATAGTTCTGAGTGCCACGTCACAATTTTGGATAGTGGGGGTGCTGATTTGGGCGATGACAGTCGCATGCAAAATGCTGACAACCACAATGCCACGAGAAGAGCATGTCTCAACAATACAGCAAAGATGAGTTTCACAGATTATGAAAAGATCGAAACAAAGTCCTACAGCGAACCTGCAGTCTCCGTAGCTTCACCTTGCAATGCCGGTGTGTTTCAGGGCATCTTAGGGTGCATATGCTCCACTTCCCATCAGAACGGGATCCTGGCTGATCCTGCACACTCGCGCATGCAGCTTGGCAGCCCTCAAACCGTAAACCCTACCAGAGAACCTCTATATTATGTCGCACACCCTGGCCCGAAGTATTGGATTCCCTACCTTCAAGACGTCCTTTTCCCGTATAGATGTCGAAACCTTCACCCCTGTATAAGACCTTGAAACGCTTTGCTGAAAGGATCCAAATGTTGACCCTCAAAAGGCAGGATCCTTATCATGAGTCATATAGTCTCGCAGGTAAGACAGGTACGAGGTTCCAAATGGTGACCATTCACTGTGGATCCTGACTGTAAGGACTCCTGAACAAGGTACCATAAACCCCGAACATCCCCGAACCCTAAATGATGCTTTGGATATTGTTTTGCATGATGACGGAACAAGGAGTCCACTGGCGGCAGCGCCCCCCGGTGCTGCGCCTTTGCAGGTGGCACTTCGAGCGTTGGCACCTCATGCAGCAAATCATTCGGGGAGTTCTAGATTAGGGCTGTTTTCGAAACCCCATTAGGTCGATGTGGTCTTAGTTTCTCATAAAGCCACCCAACATCACCCAACAAGGGAGCCCTAACTTTTGTCCAGGTTCGTTTCCAAGCGTGTCTTCTGTGCTACGTTGGGGCTTTAGGGTTCGAGGGTTGGCGGGTTTGCGGAGCTTCAGAAACCAAACTAACAGAATCCTTTGGCAATGACCTAAACAGCCTAAACAGCCATGGATAATCAACCCCTAAGTTTGAGACATCTCCAACTTTCTTATTGTACCAACTTGTAAAGCGGTATAAACTCTCTTTCGTTTGATTAGCGTGCTTCACTGATCTCATAGCGGTTATGGGGCAGCATCCCTTCTTCAGGCCATATGTTAGGGTGGCCTTAGCCTGACAGACCCTAGTAATCTTGGTGATCCCTTATAGACATACATGCATGCATGCATGCATACATACACATGCACACTGACACCTTGACTCAATCACAAACACCAACACAGACATAGACATATGCATATACATAGGTGTGCATAATTCTGTTTCTTGAGGCAAAAACCTGCAAAGCACCTGGAGGATTATGATTCAGGGTTTGAGGGCTTGGGAAGTGCTCGGAAGCATTGAGCCTTCGACGTCGGCTACATGCAGCACTACGTGATATGTTGCGGGCTGAGGTGCACGTTCAGATGGTTGAAAGACCTTGTCCACACGGCGAAACGGTGGGATTTCGAGTTACTGCGAGACCCGAACTAAGCCGCCTAAAGTTCTACGTCCTAAGACATGGCATGGAGCCCTAAACCCCCGTGGAATACTGGTGGGACTACGCACGGAACACAGCTCCATCATACCAATACACAAACTTCTAAAGCGAGAAGCAAAGGTCTTGGAAACACGAAGTAAACGTCTTGGATTTCTTTGCACTTTGTGACCCTGCACGGGTTTTGCGAGTTCGTACAGTATCATTGCATCATGCACACATGTTTTGATCGGTTGCCTGAAACAAAGACCGAATCGAAGCGGCGTTAAGCCCAGAGCACACCAGAACGCACAAAAGAAAACCGTCCGTAATCATCAAACAGTAATAGTAATAACAGCAATACGGATAATAGTAATAATATTACTAGTAGTGATAAAAATGACAGTAAGAATCATGAACATAATCATAATAGCGATGGTAGTACGAGTAATACTAGGCCCGTCAGGAAGAGTCTGTCTCGGCATCCTTGGGAAATCCGGGAGCGAAGCGACTTCGAGCAGTGACTTGGCCTGGCAGTACACTGCCTTTAGGGTTTAGGGTTCAAGGGTTTAGGGTAGGTCTCGATTTCGGATAATGTGTAAGTTCCCTCATTGTTTAATCTAGGGCCTTGATTTAAATAAATTTGGGGACTGTTGAAATCCACACCTAGTACACTGATGTACATGGATCCTGCAAAGGAGTGTCATGCACAAAACCCCACATTGAAGACATAAACGTGCATTCTCCGGTGTTGCCAGAGGCAAACATGGCAATTCGCGACTTAAACCCGATCGTGGTATTGTTTAGTTTAGGCGGTTTCAGAGCCTTTGTTCACGAATTCCTCACCTCGTCTTGTTGGAACAGCTTCTCAATTTTCGCCGGGGTTTGGGGTTGAGGATTACTAGTGTCAGGTCGACATTTACATCTCGACAAGTCTTGCGTCCTGGAAAAAATGTCCGATCGCACACTCTCACATTGTCCCGACCGCAGGGCTCGCTTGACTTAGGACACAAGGTAGCTGCAAGTGCGGTTTTGAGTTTCCGTACCCGCATTAAAAGCCCATACACTACAGGGCAAAACTCCTCAATCCGCAAGCCAGGCAAAGAACCCAGCACCCAAGCCACCACGAAACCCGAAACCTTCTGTATCCCAGAACCCTAGTTCAGCAAAGGTCTGCGCAGGTTACACCGCACTCTACAACCTGCGGGCTCAAGAGGACATGCATGCCTCAGGGCTTTAGGACCTATAGCTTTTCGGCTCATGGGTCTAATTACTAACATGCCCGAAATACCCTCAACCGAGGCCGCATGGCATTCCTCACATTACTTGACTTCAAACTCTGACACTCTGCAATCCCCAAACCCTACGAAGTGATGTGCAGCATCCCTCAGAGCCCTCGGGTTATAGCTTGTATGCTGTCTGCATCAGACCATCATTTGTTTTTACAGGAAGACCACGTGCTCCCGCTTTTTGAGACGGAAAAGACGTGCGTCAAACTGTTCTGTAGAAGCCAAAACGCTTACCAATATGTTTCCTTTAGGATTCCTGTTTGTAATTATACCATAATATGCACCTCTGACTCCTGACTTTTGTGCCTTTTTGTTGTAGGAGGGCTCGGCGGAAGCCATCGCGGATCACTTGAAGGCAGGGGGCGTCAACGGAGTACTGCCGAGCTTTGGCTTCATAGGCAACAGCGAGCGTAATATAGATATTGTAGGACCTTAATAGTAGCCCTATTATAGACTCTTACTGTAAGGGGGCCGTACCTAACGTAAACCCCTTAGCCCAACCAATCCCAACTTCAGGCAGGTTGGGGTCCTCACCTCGCCTGGTGACATGAGGATTGTTCTGAATCAGGGTCCCTGGAGGGTTTAGGGTTTAGGGTTTAGGGCTGGCTGTACCAGTAGCTCCTAGTCGGAGCCACAAAATCGACCGCTATATGTAGCACTGTGGGCATGAATCATCTGCGAGTTATTGTGACTACAGCGAAAACCCTGGACGCCTCTCTGATTCTACTGTGCATGATCAACAAGATTCGATCCGTCAACCAAAATGGAAGACCCAAACATACCTTACGCAAAACTTAAAACCCTCAAGAGGCCCCTCTCCGCAACACGAAACCCCAAACCCTTTTCAACCCTTTCAATGAGCGTGAAAGCCTCGGCCGTAGCGTAGACCTCCACTGTCCGTGTCTATCATGGCACCAACATGTCTGTGCACAGGTGGGGAACAGCGATGTTGCGCCATCCCCTGTTCTGCCCGCATACCGTTCCGTTTGGAAGGCTGCGGCTCAAAAAAGCCTCTACGACTTCAAACCTACTCTGCGACCACCGTGCCGGAACAAACTTGACTTGAAGAGCTGTGCTGCTAGGACGCCTCTCGTTAACCGTCCAGACCCCTCCAGTCTGCAAGATCAACCTTCGAAGCATCTGCCCGAACCACCTGGTTCGCTGGCCCATATGATGTGTCAACAACTGGCCGTACTGCATGAGCCCTGGGTCCAACCACTGGCGTCCAGATAGAACTGGCGGAGCAAAACCACAAGACATTGAATAATCCAGCAGAAGTTGCAACAATGATACCCATCTTGTTGGAGAAACCCCAAACCCAAACCCCTAAAGCCTAAGCCCTGTAACCCCTCGCCAGAACACGGAAAGGTGGTTGAGGCGGTCCTGCCAGGCTCTTTCTCCCACTGTGCCTCGCCTCACAGCCTGTTGTGGGGAGAGCTTTGAGGTTGTAGAACCCTAAGGGTCCATGTACCCTTAAGTATTCCCTATATAGGTACATTGGGCCTAAAGTGTATACTATTTGGATACAAGGACGCGAGGAAAAGTGAATATCGCGCACACCAGCCCGTAGCCTATAGCCCCAGCACAGCCATGTAACGCCAATAAGGGTCCTTTACCAGGCTTTTGAGTACCATACTGTAATACCTTTTTTGAAGGAACCATTATAAAATACAAGCTTCTACTTCTTTCTCCTGGTTACCTAAAAGCCCAGTTTATAACAGCTTTGAGACTGACTTGGGGGCTTTTGTACCTTCGGCTTTCAAGTTGTCGCGGCGGAGCGTACGAGACCTGCAGAGCTGAAGATTCTACAGACATCCCTAAGGGGCCAAAGGGGGCACGTGCCTGTAGTATATACTAAATGGATACATGGACCCTTAAAGTATGGCCTTTCACTGACACCCTGAACTGGGTCCTAAACCCCAGGATCTGGACCCCGATCTGCCTTTAAATCCCACATCCCTCCACCCCTCGGCACTGTGACGCGTCATGGCCAGCCCCCTGATCCCTCATCCGGAGAAAGCAAGCTCCTTTTCAATTGGATCGAGGTAAGCTGTCCTTTCAGTACTGGCGGACCTGCATCTCGGGCCGTAGCTATCTTTTTGTAAGGGGCGGTTGAGGGTTCAGGGTTTTTAGGGATTAGGGCTTGGGGAGCGGGGGAATAAGGTGCAGTCGGGTTCTGAAGATCTTGGGACTGGGGGCTTTGATGTTTGCGGGCGTCGTGCTATTTAGTGCGGGGGGTCGGGGGGCCTTAGGGCGCAGAGTCTGTGTAGAGTTGCGGGTTTCGAGGCCTTTCATGGTGCATGCACTGGTTGGGGGATGCACTGCAAGCCATCATAAAACTTACTTTCTGCGCAAAAGATTTGGAAAAAAAACAAGTCTTACGAAGAGTTGGTTAGTTTGTGGTTGTTCACCGAAAACTCTGAAGCACTAGACCCAAAACCCGAAAAGCCCAAGGCTCTACAAGCCAACTCCACTAAACGTTATTATGGGGTCTTCCTCCCAAAAAAGTTTAGGCTATAATATAAGAGCTTGAACGATTAGCACGAGTGTTCCTAAGGGTTCCGTATTATGTCTTACTTACTTGTCGTATAGCATTTTGTCAGGCTTCTTTTGCAAATGCTGCGGCTGGGCTTACTTGAGACTTCCGGGCTTTTGGGTGCAAGGTGCAGGGCCCTACCTCTAAACCCCAAAGCCTTCCCGATGTGCGCGGAAATCACCGCAAGGAACCCCAAACGAGTATGTTTTTGGGACTAAGGTGACCCTAAACCCTAAACCCTGTGTCCCGCAGAAGGGCTTCGTATATAGGATGGTCATGAGCCCCAGCTTTCCAGAACAAGAAACGCCCTTGCGAAGTGTATCCGGCCCAGGCACTGGCCACTTTGGCGAGGAGCGGTTTGCATGGGTCTTGATTCAGAATCACTACCTGCACAGCTTCCTGTAGAAGCCGTTTTGGTTTGAATATAAGCGTGTCTTTGTAGACGGACATGAGTACATATTTCAGTACCCGTAGCAAATGGACATATAATTAGAGGTGTTTACTGCTACCGGCTGCCCTTAAAACGGTACAAGATAGTGGCCCGCCCCGCCCCCCCGCACCTTCAAAATTAAAAGCAGCAACAAGTACGCCGACACCCAACATTAGGACCCACCCAACCTGCCCCACTCCCCCCAGCCCATTCCGCTCACCGCTTAACTTTCAGGTTTTCGGCACTACGTCCTTGGATCTTGGATTGAGTTTCGAAACTTTTTGGTCCGTGGTGGCTCGTCAACACACAGGGCTGCTACTTCTGCAGCATAAACAACTTGTGTTATCACCGTTAGTATTGTTCAAGGGCTGTTGATGTTATTATTAGGTTGATGATTTTTGCCATTTGTGCTACTGCTACAACAACGACGACGACGGCGACGGTGACGAGCATGCTGGTGCTGCTGCTGCTACTACAGTACAGATATCGGTAATAGTGTAGTAGTAACAGTTGCTCTTGTTCGTCTTATGCTGAGTATGACTCTTGTTTTGTGATTAGATTTGTTTGATTGTGCCTTTATCTCCATGTTTGCTCAAGTGCTCTGACTACACAGGCCGCCGCAGTGTTTTCTTTTGAACGAAGTCAGGTGTGGATTCGGCCTAACTTCAACTGACGGAGCTATCCCTATCTCACCCATCGCACATCCTTTCGGTGAAAGGACTGCGTCGAGAAGTTCAAGGCAGATGGAACTGCCGAGGGCTCAGCATGTGCGTTTCTTCCGTTTTCGGCTGATGGGCGAAACTTGTTTGGTTTGCTTGCATAGCCACCACGCAGCTTGAGTGATGGAAGAAGATATGCTCTACGCAGCTTGGGCACCTGACATAGCCTACAAGCCCCTCAGAAAGGAAGCTTGGGAGTCCCGGGCTTGCAAAGGAATTGAAGGAAGACCGCTTCTAGCATTCAACCGCTAGGACCCAGAGTAGGCCCTTATTCCCTTTTTTGAGGGTTTAGGTTCCCTTATAAGCCCCTTCAAACCAAAAAGGGCACCCTTTTTATTCCTAGCTTACTCTTGGGTCTAGACCGACAATATACCTTGAACCTAGAACAAACAACCTTGGCAAACGGGACCTTGAGAGCCCCACCGGAACGGCAGAAACAGACCAAAAGGAATTATCAGATATATCCTAGCCTTAGCCGAAACCCTGCAAAGACAAGGGAACACTTGGGGAGCCTTAAAACAGCAAACAAGCCTGCACCTACAGCCCTAAACCCGACAATTCGAATTAAAACTCTAGAGCAAGAATCCCTTACAGTCCCAAAATCCTGGGACAGTCTAAAGCCCTAAAGCCTAAACTCCCAAACAAGCCTTAAAAGTAACCAAAGAGCCCCTCAGGTGCAACCCTTCACGCGGCGGCCCTTGGAGGTGTCAGCACTTCGGGGTTCCAGGGCTTTTTTGGTGGGTTCCCTGAAGGCGTTCCGAGCGTTTTTGCATAAAAACAGGGTTCCCTCAAAGGGATCTTGTTGGGGTTCCGTTTAGGGTCTGGGGGTTTGGGGTGAAGGGTTTGGGGTTTGGGGTTTAGGAGTTCAGGGGTTTAGAGTTCCAATGTGAGGGTTTCGCGGTCCTAATTATTAGGGTTCCAGAGGTTCTACAGAGGTTCAGACTGTTTGGGCTTTGGTGTTTTTTTGGGCTTGAGAGCTCCTCGTGAGTGTTTTCTTTGTTGCTACAGGGGATCCTGAAAGGGTTTAGGGGGCGTTGGGATCTTCGGGTTTAGAGTTTTTTTGGTCTTGGGGTTGGAGGGTTTTGGGCTTTAGAGTTTAAGGTCGGAGCTTTGCTCTCGGCCCTCCCTGGACCCTAGGACGCATGCAAGGAACTCGTATTTTCGGGGTGCGGGTATTACCCTGGGCTTTGGAGTACTACCATACTTTACTCCGTTTGTTTCCTAGACGAACCATTATGAAATGGAAGTTTATGCTTCTTTCTCCCTGGCTGCTTAAAAGCCCAGTACCCTGAACCTAAAGCCTTTGGAGGCCGCGTGGGCAGCGACCTCAGCGGCGACTGCTCACAAGCTGCGCTATGGGGATCCAGGCCAGGCAGGGTTTGGGGTTTGCGGTTGTGGTCCAAGGTTTAGGGATTTGGGTTCAGGGAGTAATGAGGGTTCCGGGATGAGGGTTTTATCCTAGGGAAATTTATCGAGTGTTGGGTTTGGGATGTGGCTTCAGGGGTCGTCAAGCTTTCGGTTGTTTTAGGCTTTCGGGGCTTCCAGGGCTCATTAAAAGTTTCTGAGTCAGGAGGGTCTGGAGTGTTTTCGTAGCGTTCTACGGAGCTTCCAATTTCAAGGTGTTTCCCAGCTTGGGTTTTCTGTTTCGTGTTCTGAGAGGTCTTTAAACGGCTTTATGTCGCGTTATGAGTTTTACGTACTTGTGGGCTTTAACGGATTCAGAAGAAGACTATTGTTGAAGGCAGCCCTTGTGAAGCTTCATGCTGTCATCTTTGTGTGATGAGGAGAGTAGGTTGCTGCTAGTGGATCTGAATTCCGATCTATGCCTCTTGCTTGAAATTTCATTGCAAGGATGCTTATCCATTCTGATCGCAGAAGAACAGGCGTGCCGAACAGTGTTTTCGATATACAGGAGCATAGCTCGCAAACGGACGAAAGAATCCAAGCGGTCAAACAAAGGGGGTCCATGAGAAATCCTAAATGCTCCGAACTAGTCAATAGTTCCTTGAGTCTTAAAGTAAAGTGGACTTGGGACCCTTAATTCTGCCTTAGCCGCACGCCACTACTAGCGATGGCGTTTCTAAACCATCCTTACACTCAGTATTCAGACCCGCGATGTCAGGAAAATCCGAAGCAACTACCCTGAACCCTACCCTCAACCCTCAACCCCTTAAAGCCTAAAACCCAAGAATTCCGAAGCAACTACTTTCCTGTGGAGGTGTCGACTTCCTTCCCGCCCTTGTGGTGCACCTGACGGGTTTACGGTTGAGGGGAGAGGGGGTAGTCCTTGGGGTTTAGGGGTTTAGGGTTGAGGGGGAGGGGGTGGGCTTGGGACCTCAGGAACTGGCGTAGACAGCAATGGTGAGGAAAGTTGTGGATTGATGCACTATAGAAGCATGAATAATGAAACATATGATTCCTTCAGGGCTCTTTAGTATAATGGTTCTATAGTATTCCCCCGAAGCGATAATTATTCTACTTGTTAAGGCTTCCAAATCTGTGCTCAAAGCCGTGCTTCAACCATGCAGGCTGTGTAGGCGCTTCTTCTGGATCGATGTTCCCTTGCGGGTTTGGTAAGCTCCCAACCCCAACACCATCAGGTAGGGTTCAGGTTCAGGTTCTTGGGACGTACTGTAGCCCTCGGTTGGATGTTGACGGTATGTTCTAGTAATTCTAGTATGTTGCATTGTATTACCATTCATTATAGTAAGGCATATGACATTCCATTACATTGCATTGAAATGACTTGTTGAAACATAGTGGGCTATGTAATACTGTATCTAGGTTGCACTTTCATACTGCATTATAATATGGCTTTTCACTTTAGAGGATCGTTTAACATATCCTGTACTGCTATATTGTACTACATAAGTGTACATTACACTAACTCAAATCACAACTAGCTGCAGTACATTTCCTATTTATATTACACCATCTTAATCTGCACTATACTATAGCATATTATACTATCGCGTTTTATCACATGTTACAGGATATTGGTGTTTGTGTCTTTGCACAGGAAGAGACGCGGAAGTCCCTGGACAACAACGAGGGGGAGTTCATACTCAAGGTTCGGACTCGGGCTCTACTTGTATACCAACTAGGGTTTAGGTCTTGTGGGGTTTCGGTGGTTTCGAGTTTAAAAATCTACTGTTTTTGGGTTTCAGGATCGAGGGTTTCGGGTTGAGGGTTCCAGTGGCGGCGGTTGGTGAGAATGCCACAGCCAGCTGAGCTTCCGCGCATGAATTTGGAACCTCTAGGCCTTAGAGGCCCCGAACCCCAAAATGAGCGACCACTTTCAACCACGGCTTGTAAGCATGGTCTGCTCCACTTTTGCTGCTGTTGGGCTTGTACCAACAGGGTGCTTTCGGGTTCACGGTCGCTTCATAGTGACTTGTGAGGGGTTTGGACGACAGTTCTGTCTACCCTGAACCCGAAACCCTTCATGCCTCAAGTCCTGTCGTAAACCCTGTACCATTCGAGCCCTCCGCCCTGAACTCTAAAATGCTATTAACCCGAAACCTTTAAGGCTACACCCTTAGCAAACACAGTCGTGTTCCAGAAAGGCCTGCCCTTCCGCAAACAGCCACCACGAAACTAACCTGAACACCCGCGGTCCTCCCACTCAAAAAACAGAAAGTCTTAGAGGGTTTGGGTACATCCTGCTATGAGTATACAGGGATGATATCAGAGGATTACCAAATATTCCGACCACTGCATCACGTTAAACTGTATCCACTCTTGTGTTTGAAGTCTTGGTGCTTGGGAAAGTGTTGCCCTATACCCGAACCCCCGAACACTTAAACCCTTAGCCAATAAAAACTGAACCCTCACCCCCAAACCCCTGAAACCTGAGCCCTTTTCCGGTTACCAGGGTGAACTTCTGCCTTGCCCCACGCCATAACTCGAAATCCGCTGGTCTTAGGATTCGAGGATCTTACTATAAGGTATTGCAGTAGGGTGGGGTTTAGGTGTTTGGCCTTTTGTGGTTACCGGTCAATCTAAGGGGTTTTGGGTGTGGGATGCTATGTAGTGTCTCCACAGAGCCTCTGGGGTTTTGCGGGGTTGAGCCCTGAACCCGAAGCCCGCGAACCCTAGGTTCTAGATCCTTGACCCCGGAACCCTTAAACGATACATGCCGCAAATGTAAACCCTAAACTAAACTCCAACCCTTGTCCTGTTGCTGTCTGTCACAACTCTGCAGGTTCGTTGAGGTTGCGTCCTCGAGCAAGACGCCTGGTTGCTTCAGTCATCGGGGCTTTCCTTGAAGGTTCCTGTATCAGGATGACTATGAGGGATTTGGGGTGCCTGTCAGGGCTCCGGGTTTAGGGCTACGGGCGTTTGGGGTCTAGGGTTAAGGCTTCGTGGGCTCCCCGGTTGCTTGGGGTTTAGGGTGGCCTCTTCGGGTGTTTCTAGGGTTTCGCGCCTTTTGTGGTGCAGGGTCATACTCATGGGGCCTTTTCTTACTTTCAGACTCGTGTGTTGGGGCTCCGCGTTAAAGAATGTTGTGGAGCTTGGAATTGAAGAGTCCGCGTTGCTTGGGTTCTGATGTGGTTGTCTCAGCATGTATGTAATCTATCACTATCAGGCAAACAAGACCGGGAATCAGAACAAGTGTGCATTACTCGTAGCAGCCGGATGCAACCGATTTTTTCAGAGGAACAGCCGGGTTTCCTCGGTATCGGTCCTCTGTTGTGCTTGATGTCTTGTTTTTTGAAGCTAAAGCGCATATTCCAAAGCCACTATAACCTCAAGCTGTTGCACTAAAGTCACTCAGGCTCCACAGGACCTAGTAGGCCGCAGAATCAGAATCCTAAAAGGCTTGCTTGCTGTAATGAAGCTTCCACCTTGCGCCCATCGTGGGGCAGATCAAACTAATCAGCCTCCTCCCACGCCTTTGGAGTAGAGACTTCAGTTTAGCAAGTGCTTCAACGGAACCATGAAACCGAGACCTGCCTTGCAGTAGTCTTTCAAATTTCACCCCACGTAGGACTCAGAGTTCAGGCGGAAGGTGTTGAGAGGTTTCGGGTTTAAGTCTGCTGAGTCATGATCAAGACACACACCCTGAGCGGGTGGATTTGAGGACACTCAAAAAAAATTGGACACTCGTAATACAAACTAGCGAGAGTCTAGTTCAGGCGACAGCTCGCAGAAGCCAGCCTTGATTCACTGAGTTCGTAGACCGCGAAAGGGGCGTCAGGTTTAGGGCTTAGGAGTGTCTCTTGAACTAGTTTGCAACATCGCTCCAGGGTTGAGTGGGCTTAGAAAATCCATCATGGAGAGTTTCCACGAGTGGATTTCCGCACAGCCCTCCTTTGCATTCCTATCTTCTTCACTGACTGATGTCCAATGCCGCCTAGGGCCTTCAAGCAAGAAGATTCAAGCCAGGCCCGCACCATGTGTTCTGGTCTTTCGTGAAAGCCAAGCGCCCTGGCCTGAACCCGACAGACACTCCCAGGAATCGCTGCGCGGCCAGAGGACGCCAGAAAAGATGGGCGCATACTCCCAGTTGAACTCCATGAAGCAGGCCTGTCCCCAGTGTTCCGTGAGAACTTTGTACACATCTCAAGAACAGAGAGTCTACGGAAAACTGCCACAGATTATTTCAAGGATGTGCCCATTTCGCGTACATTTTGGGTCTAAGGTATGCATCTAGGAATCTAGGGACGACGTCCAGGGCCTGGCTACATGGACGCTTAGCCCTAAACCCTAAAACCCTTAGCCCCAAGCCGCTCTCTCTGGCACGGTTTCCGCGATGCGACGAGCCCTAGACTGCAGACAACTCCTTTTCGCAGCTAGTGCAACACATACAGACACTCATAGCGAAATAAACATTATCAGAATCCTCCTAGCACATGCTTACAAGCTGTTCTTTATTGACATGGCCAAAAAACAAACTGCGCGCCAAAGAGGAAGGCCGAGTGGAGTGGACCCTGTCTTTCTGTCGTGCCTAGTCATTGAAAATTTGACTATGCCAACACACAGTATGACATACAGTGTATATATGTATACACACATAGTGACCAAATGCATATACACATACTTTGTATATATATATATATACATAGTATAAACATATACAGGGGAGAGAGAGACAGAGGACACACATTGAACTATGTAGGTACCCGAAAGACACGCCAGCACACTTCTTCAAATCCGCATTCGTGCAAGTTTCGCGCTGAGCTGTGTATGCCAGCATTCTTTGGTGCAGGTTCCGCAGATGCGCTCAGGCAGCGAGAACGACAGAGATGCCACTTTCGGTGCCGTCTCCAGGTTCGGCAATGACTGTTGGGTATGTGAGATGGGCACATGCACTGTGATGGCGTGCATTGTCGCTGGGAGCTTGTTGTGCATGCTCAAGACCATGATTTGCTCTTTATTTAGGCTGATCCGCCAAATGTACTTGTCCGGCTCTGGCGAACGGAACTCTATCGCCAACGTTTGTCAGACCTCACCGCCAAGTGTGACTCGGCACTCAAGACACTGCGCAGTCACCAGCAGAAGAAAAAGCAGGAGTCGCAGGCAAGTCGACAAGAAAGCTACTTGCTGCAGTCACCGCAAAGAGAGCGCGGCGCAAGCTACCATACCAAGCCGATCGCGGAGAAGCGCTTCAAACTTGCGAGCATGAGGGTGCTCAGGGATTCAAGGCTCAAGTGGCTTGGCTGATGATGTGAGCGCTGCTGAGAGCTGGACTAAAGCGAGACTGGAGCTTCTTGGGGCCACTGCTGAAGGCCCATGTGTTGTCTCACACAGCTGGAAGTCCGAGCTTTGGGAGAATCCGGTAATTTCAAACGAGTGCGTCTGATCTGTTGCATTGTTGTTGCAGCTGCTAATGTAGGAACCTGATTGAGAAACCCTGGGCCTATAACCCCAAAATAATAGGATTCATGAAAGGAACCCTAATAGAGGCCCAAGGTTACTTAATCAGGTTCCTACATTGGTCTACAGCAGGGGATTATCTGGGCCCTGCTACTGCGCCTACTACACCTACTACATCCTCTCACCTATTCCTAAACCCCCGAACATGTTCACATTTTCTTTCTGTTCGACTCCGGAACCCGGTCCTCCCTCAGCGATATGCGTGTTCGGAGAAGAGCAGGCATGGCAAGGCCAAGAAAAATGCTGCAGATCAAGTGAACCCTAAACCCTAAACCCGGGTGTAGGGTGTTGGGTAGAGTTTTGTGGCTTTTTATAAGTTTAGGTTCCATAGCTTCGGAGTTCTGGTTTTTCGGCACGTTCGATCTTTATTATACCTGGGTGTTGAAGCATGTATTGTTCGGTCACAGGGCTTGGGAATGATACAATTTTGTTAAGAATATGAGGAGTCCCTGAGCAAGACTGTGGTTTTTCTGTTATAACATCCTGATTCAGAGGTACCCCGGAACACGGGACTCAATGGGGCCTCGGTTTTGAAAGAAAAACCTTTGTGTTCTTTCTGTTTGTTTCTTTAAGAGTTTAGCAAGAAGGCTCTGTTCGAGCAAGGCACACAGGCCGGAGACGTCGACAGCCTTAAACCAAGCTGTTTGTTTCCTCTTCCTGAATAGGGGGACCCCTCTTGAAGGATTTGGGCATCGTTGCGCGGGCTTTACCAGCTTTGGGACAGAGTGAGATACCCCAAAACCCCAAAACTCGCCCCTATAGCCCCTTTAGGGACACATCGCTGCTCCAGTACCCAAACAGCGCTCCGTGCCTCCCAGAAAGACGGCTGCTGCTAAAACCCACCAAAACCACTTGTAAAGTCGTTCAAACAACTCGTTGCAGGTCCTATTAAACCCTAAACCCTAAACCCCCAAACCCCTGAACCCTAAACCCCCAAACCCTATAAGCCCTAAACGCTAAACCCCTAAACCCTAAGCCCCTAAACCCTAAATCCTAAACCCCTAGGCCCTAAACCCTAAACCCTATAAACGCTCTAAAACCCTCTAAATGCCGATCTGCGGTCCGAGAGTGGAAGCGGTGAATATCGGCAAAGCCATACCCTTACAGTCCATACTATAGGTGCCTAAATAATTACTAATTGCCTATACTATTTTGGGGTTCCTTGTTATAACCAGAGTATAATTAATTACTAATTACCTATACTAATTTGGGGGTTCCTTATTATAACCAGAGTATAATTAATTACTAATTACCTATACTATTTTGGGGGATTCCTTATTATGATTATAGTAGAATGGGCCCCAAAACGCCCTCCCCAAAACATCTCAAAGCCTACTCGAACTCTGAAGGCCCCCCGGTATGAGTTGAGTCCCTGTGTTCTGAAACTCCTAGGCGATTTCCAAAGCTTCCAACGACCAGCTCCTGTAGAAGATCGGTCGGGAAGCTCATCTTCGGAGCTCCGGTCTCTACGGGGTGCTTTGGTTTTTAGAGTTTTTCAGGGTTCTTCAATGTAAGGGCCTTAATAATTCGAATGGGGTTTCGTTGTATATTATACTATACTTATAGTAAGGAACCCAACATAGTATAGGTAATTATGAAGGCCCCTATTGTAGGATCTCTTGCAGGGTCTGTATACGGCTGCTTCTGTAGGGTGTCGCAGGGATTCGATGGTCAGGTTGTTTGTGAGGCTGAGGATGTGTAAGAGCCGTGAGGTTCGGGCTTGCAATCGTTCGGGGCTTGCTCTTATAGGTTTATTCTTAGGTTTGGTGGTTTACATGGCTTAGGGTCGATGCCCAAGGTTGACTGGGTGTGCGGCTTTCCGATGAAAATTGTAGTGGTGGTGGTGGTGCTGGTGGTGGTGGCTGGGGGTCCTCTTTGCTTTTCGTTGAAGGGGCTCACAGGGGTTTGCTTAAGTGTTTTAGGGTTTGTTTAGACTCCTTTAGGTAGGACCTTTTCTTTTCATGAGGTGGATGTGTTTTTGTGGTCCTCAAGGTGCTCTTTAGGGTTTTGGTTCAGGATCTTTCGGTCTTATTGTGAGGGGTTGCGAAGGTTTTGTCAAAGGTTGTTTAGGCCAAACCCCACACCCTATAAACCCTAATCCCTAAACCCATTCCCCTAGCATTTCGGGGCATGGGGCTGTGCCTAAGGCTTTAGGGCTCAGAGGCTCCCCAGGGTTCAGGGCAGTGTAGGGTTTGGGTTGAAGGTTTGGGGTTTGTGCTTTGGGTTTAGGGTTAAGGCTTCGGGGTAGGGGTAAGGGTTTTGCGTTTAGAGTTTAGAGTTGAGCTGAGGGTTTGGACAGGAGATAAACAGTTGGGCCTCCTCCCCAACCTGTCTCTAAACCTTGCACCCGCCACCAAACAGCCCTTGAAGTCTAAATGTAAATGTAGGCACTTGGCGCCAGCAATCCTGAATTGCATAACTTTACTTCAAGCAGAAAACCTCGGAGGCTCAGCCTGTTCAGAGTCACAAGTTTACCCCAAGAGTCCGAAGTGCATAGTCATTGCACGGAGTGATTACTCGCACGACACTGCTTGAGGAAGTGTACTCTCACGAGTGTTAAGTACTGATACAGGCTTTAGTAGCGCCCTTCGACAAAGGTCTGTTTGTCGACATTTCCTTGAGGGGAAATGCAACTACGGCGATGCCTGCCGCTTCAGCCACGCAGGCTGGATTCCCCTAGGAATAAGTAGTGTGCAGGGGCCACCGTTCAGGTGGTTCGGTGTTTGTTGGCCTGGCATTTTGTCTAGAGCGAGATGTAGGTTGATTTAGGTGTAGATATGTTTATATACAGCTCTAGTTATAGATGTAGATACAGAAATGATACTGTACAGATATGCCTTCGAAGTCTGTCTGTTCAGCCCCTGCGTTCTGCATATCCCCATCCCATCCCCAGAATGGGGTTCGGCTTCTTATGCACCGGGGGTTACCGTCGAGTCGAGGTTAAGAAAAAGCTTCCGGACTCCAGAGAACGTGCTATGCTTTCCTTAGGGGTACTTAGAAACATTTTTAATTTTTTTTGTTATTATAATCCCTAAGAAACAGCAAAAATTATGATTTTTGCTAGGGTTCTAAGTTCAGTAAAGTTTCGGGGTTTGGGGCTTGGGGTGAGAGGACAGGGTTCAAAGTCTCAGGGCTGTGGGTTGCCCCCTTGGCAGCCAGATTGGAGTGTTTGAAATGCGAGTCTGGTGTTGGGGTTTCGAGCTATTTCGAATCTCGAGGTCCAGCACCTGGCTGCTGTTCGTTCCCCAGTACCCTGCTCTACTTATTCATGCTCCCATGGTAGGTGGAGTTCGAGTTGTTAGCGGATTCCTGTGCATGAACCTTGACCCTAGCAGGAATCCGGAGACCCCGAGATTTCGAAATTCCGAAAGCCTACAGAATCCAGAAACGTCTACTTGATTAACTTTCATGTTTCCGAGATTTGCAGGCTCAAGGCGTTAATGAGGGTTTAATGCTGTTGCGTGTCCTTGGCCTTCCTCTTCTCGAAAGCAACGCCCGTCGCGCATACCACGCAGGCTTTCCGCTCACGCCTCCTGTGTTGCAGCCGGAGCCCTTCATGCCTGCGCTCAGCGGGACTCCAGCCAATGACAGGCCCTTTTTCAGAAAGAAGTTCGCGCGCGGGGGTTGTGGAGTGACAGCAAGAAGTACCAGCATGAGAGCATGTCGCTGGCAGCAATTAATTGCTAGCGCATCAGGATTTCGATTCTCTTGTTTGTTGTAGGGGTGCGCATGCCCGGGGCAATCTTGGACTACCATGACTGTCTTTCAACACATGCGCATTGAATCCATATCTGCAGAAGCATAAGCTTCTTGGCCGCGCATTTGATGATGGTGGTTGTTGATTCGCCTTCAGCCCGAAACCTGAGTCGAAGTTTTTTATGCTTATAGCCTGAATAACAGACACATGAGCCAAGCTGTTTCCGCTGCAGCCCTTCGGTTTTCGCAGCGCTTGATAGCTTGCATCCTGATCTGCTTTCGCGATGGCGAGGCTCACAAAGACGGTAGCGGTGACCCTCATGGCCATGCTCGCTGCAGTCCTCCAGGGCTGTGGATGCGACACGAGCAACCTTGCCAGCTGCACCAGCAGCGCATCTGGCTGTGACGGACTGACCACTTACATGAACTGCGTGAAAGATGCCGGCTGCTGCGACTACGAATCCGGTGGGGCCAAGGTCAAGGACGGCTTCGAAGCGATGGTGGCCCTGGTGAATCTCGTGCCAGGAAATGACTGCACCTTGAATAGCCCTTGCTAAGCCGATCGACCACAGGCGTGCTAGGGTGCGCAGGACAGCCGTCACATGTGTAGACCTGTAGCCACTCCAATCCTGCTGTTGTCCTGCAGTCCTGTGCAGCACAAGCACGACCAAGCATGATGCCGTGGCGTCGCAATGTCCGCACCACGTCCATGCAATGCTGCCCTTGTGAGTTCAGCACTGGGCAAGGGGGGAACGATGAAAAGAGACCTCGTGCTGTTCACGTAGCTGTGGGTTCTGTCCCATCGCCGGCCGGGTTAAGGTTAGGAGATCTTTACTGTCTGGAGCCTAAGCCCTAACCCCCCCACCCGCCACCCTCCAATCAACCCAACAAAGTCCCTTGCCTGAAGGTCGGTGTGCCGCCACTTCTTAGAAGGACCTGCTTTCAGGGGCATGGCTTAGTCTTTATCAGAGAATGGCTCGTCCTCTTCACCTAAGGTAACGAAGTTCTCAGGGTTTCGCGTTTTGCCTCCTCTCCCAAACCCTCTCTTGCTGGCCTGGCTGGTTTTATCCAGACCACCAGCTCAAATACAGCCTTTTTTTATGAGAAGCACTTCAACGACTTAATGATGTCGCTGCCCTTCATGGCAATGCATCGGGTTCTTGCAGTGGAGTATTGTGTAAATGCCCGAAACAGAGCTCGTAGACACTGAACAAAAGCCATCTCTCATAAAACGGGCTTGAAGCACTAGATTAGGTCTTGTGCGGCCTTTATACATAGACCTTACAGGATTTTAGAGGGCTTTGGAGGGTTTTACAAAGGGTGGCAGTCTTGCCAGCCCGGGAACGGATGAGTCCCCGGTTCTTGGTAGGCAGTGGGGGGATGGGTTGCGGGGACTACTCTGGGGGACCATCCTGGGTTCTTGTTAAGGCAATGAGTTTCGTTACCATAACAGGGATCTATAGTAAGTATTTTGGTTTCCTCACTATGGTAACTTAAACTAAATCCCTTAGCCAACAAGAACTCAGTATCATCGATCGAGATCTGTTCCCTCATTCCCTAATAAGAACCAGGCAGATGAATCCTGAAGCCTGCTTGCGACAGGGAGAATTTTCGTCCATATACAGGTTATATACACATATACACATATTGTGTGTGGGTGTGTGTGTGTGTGTGTATGCGTGCATATATATATATATACATATACATAGTGTCATACCGTATGAGACCTAATCTCCCTAGTCTTCTTGCCAAACACAAACCCGTTAATTCAACAACCTGCATGCAGCCAGATGATGTGGGCATAATTACTATAAGCATTCTATCATACTATTAGTTATTTTATGCCTGTTCTTGCGACTATTCGTATGTTTTTTATGGGCAAGGATTGTTGTGGTTGTTGCCTTTTTGTTATCACTGACGGGTTCAGGATCTCTCCATTGAGGCTGTAGGAATCAAACCCCTGAAGCCGTTAAAACCACAAAATGCCTCAACGCCCCCCAATTCGGGGTTTCGTGTTTTTGACGTTTAGGGCTCTGGCATTTTAGACTTTAGGGTCGCGTGAGCGAGTGCTGTTGCCCCGAAGAAGGAAAATGCACCTACGGGAATGCCTGCCGCTTCTCTCACCAAGGCCGTCCGAGCGTTAACTCGGATTTCAACGATTGTTTTGAATTTTGAGTGTTGCAGGGTGCACTTGAATGATGACGCAAGCACTTCGCATAGTTGACCCCCTCTGTGAGGATTATGAAAATAGGATCCTTGCCTTATGTCCTTCGCAAGCCTCATGATGCGCTTCGAAGCATTCTCTCCAAAATCACAACCGCTTGGTGCCCAAAAGGCTCCCTAAAAGACGAAGCCTTTGGCCCCAAAGCCCGAAACTCCAAGAACCCTGAACATCCCCAACCCCAAAATCGAAAAGCCCGTACTCCCAAACCCTCAACTCGAGACTGCAACAGTCCTTGAACTCGTAGCCCCATCCACAACCGCTAGCTCCTCAACCCCCACAGCCCCCAAACTCCTAAACACAAGACTCATCAACCCTACATTGTCCTAAAGCTTCAATTGAAAACCCTTGCAAGTCCGAACGCCTTACAGAGACAAGCCCCGAACCCCTACGCCCCTATAACCTGATATGATAACAATCCTACACCCAAAACACCCTCCCTAACATAGGGGCCTTAGTAATTACCTATATTACTTTGGGGGTTCCTTATTACAATTAAAGTATAATTTTCCCCAAAACCATATTCTAGTTATTCAGGCCTTATTTTAGATCCCGGCAAAAGCCCGAAATCTGCTCCACACCCCAGCAGGCAGCGCTGAGGACTCCACGGCATGGCCCGCTGCGCCCAGCGCGAAGGTGGTGGAGAGGCCATGGAGTACAGTGTTTATAAGGGTTCGGGATTTATGGCTTAGTGTTTATGGTTCAAGCTGGTTTTGGGGTTTAGGGTTTCATGTTCTAGAGGGTGTTACGCTGCGACTATGTTGGGTGCTCAAACGGCTTTAAAACTGGCAGTGTTGGGAGGTGCGATCTACGAGAACCGCAACGTTGCATCTTAGGTTGCCCGAAATCCTAAACCCAACCAACACGGAAACGCCACAGTGAAATAATCAAAATAACTCTAAGTTTTGAATCTCCCCAGGCCCTAAACCCTAAACTCGTAGAGCAGAGAGCAGTTCAACAAAACAGATCTTAAACCCAAAACCCTTACCTAGGATGCCCAGTAGTACCCTTATTCCCTTTTTGTAGTCCTAGGTTCCTTATAAAGTTACCCAATACCAAAAAGAGAGGCCTTTTTATTCTTAGGTTACTGCGTATCCTAGTTACTCTAGAGTTCAGCAGACCTCCGGATACCTGCAAGGCCCACTTGCCGGCACTTCCTCGAGGGCAAGTGCAGCTACGGCGATGCCTGCCGCTTCAGCCACGAAGGAGGGACAAAATGGGCTTCCTTTAAGGGCTCCTTTAAGGATCCTTTTTGATTTAGGGTCCAGGGCTCAAGGCGGAATGTGAAATTCAGGAACAAGAACCGCGTACAAAGCCTGATCCGTCATATTTCCTTGCAATAAGGACCCTAAATACTGGATCCCTAGGATGCCTGCAGGGTTCAGGCATCGATAGGTCAGTTATCTTTCTGGGCATATTACGACTCGGAGAAACAAGATTGAGCCTCATGAATCCCCACACCCTACAATCCTGCATCCATGAGTACTATAATAATAATAACCTAAAGCCCCACACCCCGAAACCCCCTGAACCCCTACACGAATCTGACGCTTTGCAGGCCAGAACCGAATTACAATGTCCCCACCGTCATCGGTCCCTGCGGAACCCGGAAACCGATGTTGGTAGGTTGGTGAGTTAGAGGCTTCAACAATTATGGTCCTGTATGATTATGACATTAGGTGCCCCCCGAACACTATCCAAAGGTCACAACCCTGCAAAACCTGTAGTCAGGCCCTGTAGAACCTTTCAACAGCTATAGATCATTGCAAAACCAGATTCAAAAACTCCGTGCCAAGCGTCGCAGAAGGGTTGAAATGCCTGAGGCATGATTAGTTCCTGAAGCATCCCAACGCTGAAACCCCAAGCCCGTTCTTTGGTTGAAGGCCGAAGCCACACTGAACAACACGCGCCAAACCGACCTTTTGCCCTAAACCTCAGATCCAAAGCCCACGCTGTCAGACGGACTGGTAAACGACGCTCAGCCGACCGTGGATGACAGGCCACGTACACGTGTATCGGGACTGCATGCCCTCCCATGGCCAGACAGAGCTACACACTCACGACTCACACACAGCAATACATGGCATAGGGATTGGGTTTTTGGTGTGTGTGTGTATATATATATATATATATATATATGCATATACATATACATAGACATCCAATCGTTCCAGCTAGCCATCCATTGAGCCAGCCATACACCCTTTCATACATGCATGCATACGTACATACGTGCATACACACGAGCATGAACGTGTGCATAGGCATGACCGTGTGCATGCATGAACTGTCCTCATAATAAGTTGGTACAGACGTCGGTTTATTACATCTTTGCAAGTAAACGTATGTACAAAAATGCATGTACTGATTTACAAGACGCCCTACATCCTGCGATTTAGACAGGCCAGCGAAGTCAACAACAAGGCAGCGCTAACCAGTTTAATGAGCCGTTCAGCCCTTTGAAGTTAGTAGCTACGCCAGCAGCCTTAAAACGCGCATGGCATGTGCAATATTGCCATGTTCAGTCACTTGTCCAAGGCCGAGGAACTATAACGGAAACCCTAAACCCTAAGCCCTGCCCGGTGAAAGACATACACCCCAACCTTGAGGGCTTGGTTACACAAGCCCACGGACCATCGAGTCTTTCGCAAAATGCACGAAGACATCAAATGAGGCCACAGCTTCTGGTCTCTTAGGTTGGGTGGGCCATAGGGTTTCGGGTTGAGGGTTTTAGGGTTAAGTGCATCGGCATTTTACATGTTCCATGCATGATGAGTCTAGGAGGATCTTTAGATGAGGTTTCAGGGCCAACCTAGTTCATGCATGCCATGCCCCAAACCCCAAGCTGAATTGTGGATTGTCAGTTTTGCCTTGTTGCCCGGAAAGGCTTAGCCCCAAAACCTGAACAGTGCACAGTGCTGTGCATGACTGCAACATCTTGCTCAAGCAGAAGCTACCCCATTGAAACTTTGGGGACTCTTGCGCCGACCCCTTCAGACCGGTTCGCAGAGTTTCGGGATTCACGGGATAGGCCTTGTAAGCAGCAGTCGAGCTATGAGCATCCTGTTGTGGAACTCCAGTAGTGGTACTGGTAGGTCTAGGACCCAACTTAGGAGGTATAAGGTTGAGGGTTCATGGTCTCATGAGTCAACATCAACACCAACTGCGGTAAAGATGAGCCCTGTATTTCACGGCCCGCTCTCCCCCCTCGCGAACACGAACGTTTCACCGTGACGCCGGCAGATTCCCAGCGCCGAAATCCAGCACAACAAAAACTCCAAGGCACACCCCAACCTGCAAACCCTGCTGAAAGCCCTAACCCTAACCCTAACCGAAGCTGCGCCCGAGTTGAGGGGCTGTTGATCCCCGCTGTTTCTACCTGGAAATGCCACTACTACCGCCAGTGCTGATCGACATCATGATGGGAAGCAGCAGTCATAAAGACCCTGCCTTTGAAAGCAAACAACTGCAGATACATAGACACTGCAGAGACGGAGTCCGCCAAACAAGCTTTCTAGGCCCTCTCGCACAAGAGGGCATTCCGAACATCACCCACATCTGTGAACACATATACGCTTACGTTGACACTAAGCATTCAAAGATAGCCATATACACATGTAATCCCTGAGTATATATATATATATATGTATATATTCATTTATTTTTTGAATACATATGTACAGGCCATCTGGGCAGAAATGTGCACATAGATGTGTAAAAGCACTTAATACATAGGTACATGAGTTGCTTCGAGGCCTCAAGTCCCTACGATCAAACCTGTGACCCCTGACCCCAGCCCTAACAACCAAAATCCCGGGTTAGGTTTAAGGGCTTAGGTTTAGGGTTAGGGTTGAACTCCGCCCAAGCCCGAAAGCCTCCCCCTTTTCAGTTGTGTTTCAATCTTTAGTAAGTACATGGGTTTGAATGAATGAGCAGTAGGTATGCTCCCTCCATATGCATAGTGCACAGCAGTATAGCCCGAGCAAGTATTCCAAATGTTGAGGCACCTATACTGAAACCGTCCAAAACCTTACTATAAACATCAGGCAAACCTGAGAAGCCCCATATAACACCACAACAAAAAGCAACCTACAAACACAACCTAGTCTCATTACTGAGTCCTATATCAAACTACTATATAGTAACCGTTGTAGTAGCCCTTCCAGTAACATAGTAGTAATCCCTGTAGGAACCTTTCAGCACCCTAAACCCGAGATCCTAGACCCAAGGGGGCCTATGAACCCTTATGATAACACCCTGCGTTTTTCCACAAAACCCAGAATCCTTTAATATGCCGAAGATACCTTATGAAATCCTGTGAAGTGAGACCCTGTTTGCCTCTACGAAACCCTCTATGAACCCTGAAGCTCGCTTGTTTTCGGCGCTGGGATCTTTTTTAGCTTTGTTTGCCATGGCCGTGGAAGTTTCAGTGTCCCTTCTCAGCGGCCGATCCTTGCGCGTGGTTTAGGGTTCAAGCGTGGGCTTCAGAAAATGTGTTGCTGCTTAAGGGCTCTATTACTCTGGGTTGTTGCAAGTTCTGATGTTGTGTAGGGCTTTAGGATTCCGCTGTGCTGCTTTAGGGAGCTTTAAGGGTGCTTGGGCACAAGGGTTGTTTGGAGATTTACAGTATGCTGTACGGGACTTCTAGGATTTTTTATCGATATGGACCTTTGAGTTTCTTCGTAGTAGGTTTTGTTACCGGGCTACTCGGGTGTAGCAAATTTGAAGGTTTTCACGCGCGTATGGTTTCGGGCTTTGAGGTTCAGGGCTCTAGGGCATTAAGGGTTTACTCTGCAAATCAGGTTTTATGTTGTCAGCAGTCGAAGGGTCAAAAGTTAGGGGTATGGTCTCGATTAGCGGCTTCGGGTCGGAAAAATGCATTTTGCAACCTCGCAGGTTGTTTTAGCTGCGGCGTATTTTTGCTGCTTGGGATCATTGCTAGAATGAAGCTGCCGATGAAAACGAATCAGGTCCAACCGGGAATAGAAACCTTCAACCCTAAACCACCAACCCCAAACCGTCTTGGTTCTTCAGGCCATCATTTTGTAGATCCCTGATAGTAACTGTTATAGAACCCTTTGCAGCGACCCCCAAGACCCTATTCCAATCATTCAGGCCTCTACATCAAACCCCCTAAACCCTAAACCCCTAAACCCTAAACCCAACCCAAAACCCTATCCCGAGCGCACGGCGAGGATCGGTGAGCATCGTCGCCGAGCCCGAGTGGACCCTCCAGGAGTCCCTCGAAAACCCGCAACGGAGCTTTTGGAGAAGCCCATGGAAAACCTTGCCTTACAACGCTTTCTGTAGTCCTTCCGATACTCTATGAAACCCTTACAACCCATGTAAAATCCGCATAGAAAGGTGTCAAGGGTCTGGCGAAATGTTGAGAGCAGAAGAGATGGAAGGGTTGTCTGGAGAGTGTCCATAAGGGTTCTCGGGTTCAGGGATCTTGCCGCAGATTGTTTGCGATGCTGACGGGTTTCGGCTAAGCAACAATTTCAGAAGACCGTCCGCACAGCATACTTTCGAGTCCTGAATGGGCCAAAAGGACGTGATAGTTAGAATGCAGCCCAAGCGGAAGCTAATAATGAAATGAAGATAGTGGCTGTGCCGATTGCCATGTTGAAGCCATTTGGTTTACGGTTCCCTTCTCAATCGTATGGGGCCCTGGAGAGGACGGTTCAGCTTCTCATTTGGTTCCATAGCAGTGCGAAGGACGGCGCCAAGAATTCAAGATAGCTTGGCATCCTTGAATTGAAGCCTAAACCAGCAAAAAGCTTAACTAGAAACATGCCCCGGCAACCCTCCACCTTGAAAGAGGACGTGCGCCGTGCAGCGCAGCGAAAGTTACGCGTTCGACTGCCGCTGGGACACAGTGTTTCGGCCCTTTGCCGCCCCCGAAGAAGCAGCACTGAAGCCCTAAACTCTTTATGCCCCCAGTTATCAATCCCTTCTGGCCAAATTCAAAAGCCTGAAGTCGTGCTAAACACGCAGCGGTCCCGTCTGGCCCTCGATTTGGAATCCACAATCAAGGTACCATCCCAATGAACCGGCGCAGTGTTCGATAGCAGGCCAAAGAGGACGGCAATAACGTTCGACGGTTTGTGTGTTATTTGGCTTTTCGGTTTCGAAGCAATAATTACTAACATGACGTCCAAAGCATTCGCGGCGTGCTGCAGCCCCTGCATTCGAACACTGCAAAGAATAATGATGCTGTCTCTTCTGCACACTGCAAAAGGAGATGAGACCATGCCAGTGCCTCACAATCTTGAACCCAAAGCCTAAACCCCTAAAGTCCTAGACCCCTAAACCACAAAGCCCGAAGTCCTAAACTCCCTACAGCCCTGAACCCTAAGGCCTTAAACCTATTGAATGCCTCAAGAAGCAAGAAAAGACCCCCCAAACCGGCCAGCCGTCTCAGACACATAAGGCTCGGCATCGTGAGCTCTGATGGCGAGGTGCCAGATTGTTGGTCCAGGATTTAAGATGTAGGGTATGGATTTTCGAGTAGTTTAGGGTTTGGGGATTAGGATTGCAGGTTTAGGGTGGTTAGCGGGTAGTAGTGTTTTGGGGCTTGGTGTGCAGGGTTAAAATTGTCCGCCTTTTCTCCAGGTTTTGTTTATGGTCGAGTCAAGACAGCGGGAACTGCTGCATATTTGCGGAGCATCGCAAGCTTTTTGTGCGCTGAATTCCATGGCTTCTTTTCGCTTTGTTCCTACATCCTCGGCACAGATTTTTTGCACAGGGCATTGACCTTTGCAGAAGGGCTCATTGTTCGACATCTGACACACACTCACTCACACACACACAAACACAGATTTAAACTGATCTATTCGTCTTTGGATGACTGCGCAGTGAATCTTGCTATAGGGTGGGGCCTCTTGTCGTAGCTGTGGCCTCTGCGGAGACAATTGTGGGCATCCAACGTAGTCACTGACAAGCCCCCGTCGGGCCTCAAGGATCTGCGGGTCGGGACGGCGACGCTTCCCGGAGGGG